TGTTCAAAGTTCAAAACATATATTATTATTATTACAGAGAAGAGTTAACAAAATATCAGCTAGCTGATAGCTTTGAGTCAAAGACCACACTCATGTTTGTACATCGCAATCGATGTGTATATTGAATCGAAAAGATTTATATAAAATTTGATCAAGGATTATTCAGATAACGATTAACGAAGTTTCTTAATGTAATGAGCATTGTAAATAGTATGCAAAGCTAAGATGGAATTGGTACCGATCGTTAAAAACTCAAACCGATTTTGTCTCTGATCCAAAGGCTTTCACATGGTTAAGGAATAATCTGAAATTTTATATATTCATATGAACTTTGACTACAACCTTGTCGATATTTTAGGTTATATGAGTGAATTAGTATTATGTTTTTGTAGATTTTATTTAAGATAATACTAACATTTAATATGATTTCGATTATGAATTTTTTCTAGTGACTTATCAGTCAAAATTTATACTGAATTAGATAGTTACTATGGAGAAAGAAAACATTATAGTACACATCGTATATCGATAGTTTCAATTCATTTATATCATTTATTTAGAATACAACAAAAAAATAAACGATCAAAACCTTCACATATTCATTTGAATTATTGTATAAAAACAAAGAGTTTTATGTTATAATATGATTAAAAAGAATAGTATCACATAAGAAAATATCATACAAAATATCAATCTATTAATATGTTCTATCTTGTCTACATATAAACTGTGTTTCTGTAAAATTTTGGGATCGAAGTGTGTTCTCAGGTCAATAATTCCGGCGATAACTCGTCAAATAAGCGTGAAAAATAGTAAGAACTTGGAAGCAAGACTCCAATAATTGGATAAAGCAGCTAGACCTCAGATCTGATCTCTTAAATTTCTGTTTACAAGTTCCTACCATTTTTGACCTGGATTTCTTGACCTGGCTAAGAGACATTATAATTCTAAGTCTTGCATTGAAACAAAAAGGTTTCTCTTTCAAAAATAGAGTAGTTCAGTGTTCTTTTACTTCCTCATTTCATAGAATATATTTGATTTATTCAATTGAAACTAGGAAGTTCCGTACTCATTACGTTTTATGAACACATGTTGAAGAAATGTTGACTTTGTTTTATTGATGTTGTGTTTTTGTAGCGTACTGAACGTGCTCTTGAAGAATTATATACTGATCAAGGAGCAGTTGAAAATTTAAATCAAGAAAGACGACAACAAGTAGGAAAATTAGAGAACGATGTTAAAGATATGGATGGAAAATTGGCTCGTGCCGATAAAAGTGTATGAAAAAATGCATTAATTATTTTCACTAAACATACAATATCTTTTTTAATCTAACTTAATTTAGATTATTACAAATAAAAAAGCTGCACGAACTGCTCGTAATCAAACACAACCATTAATTGAAGAACATGATTTTGAACTTCGACTTTTAAAAGAGTTTAATAAAAAGCTTGATGTACTTATTGATCAAACTGTTTCTATTGATCCAGATGCTAAACATTGTTATAATATGCTTAAAGAACAAGTAAAATTGAGAAAACGAAAAATTATATTTTAACAATTATTTATTATTATTTCTTTAAAGTCTCATTTGGATGATTTATCGAGTATAGCAAGTACACCATCAAGTGTACGATCTAGTTCAACACGTAGTTCAGTCTCTCAACCATCACGTACATCATCATCACGACAAGCAATTCCTGTTGCTTCAGTACAACTTGGCTTAGGTAATAAATTAAAAATTTGGTTTCTTTTTTTTTTGGTATTTTAAGTTAAAACTATCCTTTATTTTTAAATAAATAGATGGATCAAGACCACCAAGTCGAACTGGACAACGACAACAAAGAGCTTCATCACGTGGTTCATCAACAGCTAGTTCATCATCAACATCATCAGCTAGAAGAGTAGTGCACTAATAGTTTTTTTTTCGAAATATACATCAGTATTATAATATACATTTTTCTTTTTTAATACATATATATAAATATATAATTAGATGAGTTTGATTTGCTTTTAAAAAAGTATATATATATAGATATTTCACGGTTGATATAAGAGTTCACTTGAGTTTGGAATAGCAGCACAAATTGAAAAAAGTTTTATTTAAGCGAAATATTTTCATTTTAAAGATAAGTTTTATAAACATTATGATATAATTCACTAGCACAAGACTTCATAAAAGAAATACTACATGTAATCCAAAAAAAACAAACATATAAAGAATAAATGTTCTGTTACTTGTCACCATTATTGTTGAATGGTAACGTTGTTCAACGCATACCTTCGGCCATAAAATCATTCTAGACAAGTTACCAACAGTTGTTTGTCTTGGAATACTCGTTCGATAGTCTGCTGACTAAGGTGCGAAACACATCTATTTTTATGGTTAATTTGTGTAAATAGGGACTTCTAGCAATTCAGCACAAGAATCCTGCGTCATATCGTTCTTCTGTTTAGAGATATAGCTAGTGGTGATTGTAAGAAAGATATCGGACTATTGAATTTATTATACTAGATAACAAATCGTACTGCAAAGTAGTTGAAAGATACGGGTATTATTCTTTCTGTTTTTGTCTTGTTATGTTGACTGATAAAAGCACAGTAAGAGATTCTTATTGTGTGAAATGCAGGTTTTTTGACTACTCTATTATATTGATCATATGTGCTACGGACTAATTTACCTTCATTGTTGTATTCAAGTTTCGAAATCTATGAATATAAAATAATTAGTTAGTTTATAATAATTTACGGTATTATTTTGAACAGTCTAGTTTTTACATTTATGTGATTGAGTAATATTAATTAAATGTGAGATTTCTACGTCATTTGCTTATTGATTTGAATATTATTGATTGATAATTCTTGCAATGAAACATACAAAGATTATACATAAATGATGACTAATTTTATTACTGTATGTGTTTCTATATATTTTTGCATTACATAAAAAGTGTTCCACGTTAAAAATACCACTTCACGAAAAATGTGCAAGATACTATCATTTCCAACATATAAGAGACAATAGCCCTAAAGTTCTAACTTTTGTAAAACTTTTTTTATTGGAAACAAACTTTTTCTTGTGCAACTCAATGAATTTTATCCAACTATGACGAACAAGAAAAAAAAACTTGTTGAAATTTTCAATTTCAAGCACCTTCTATGTATTGTAAATTCTTTATAATTCTAATATTCCAGTCTGTACACGGCAAAGACAACCTATATCTTAAATTTATTAGTTTGGCGGTAAAAGCTGTCATTTGACGAGCACATATTTAATTTTATTAACTAACAGCACAAATACTTGCAGTGTAAAATACCGTCTTATATTGAAGAACTAGATGTGAAACACATCTAAAATAGAATACTATTCAATGTCTTTTTTTTTTGTTTTCCTTAATGTTCACAAAAAATAATTATTGTATTATAGTAGTATTATCAAACGCGATGCATAAAATCTTGAATAAATATTTTTCGAATTTCTGCCTGTACTCATTGAACAAAGAGTAAACTACCTATATGATTTAAACTCGACAAAAAATCATGAATAGGCCATTTGATATGATGTGTGATATAGCGGTCATAGTGCAAACAATCTTGCAACATGAACATGGATATTTACTTACTATGGCAATCTGGACGATTCTGCAAAGTTCTCATTATCAATAAGAAATGCAACGAAAAAAAAATCTATACAGAAGAAAAACCTATTTATGAATCATACAATGTTTCCATCGCAAAATAAATAGTTGAGCAATAACGTCAACTCAAAAGAAAAAAAAAGAATTATGTAGAGATTAGTTTATTACCTATAAGTCATGTAACTAAAAAAGAAATAAATCAAATTATTGATAAGCAGACTTTCTTATTCATCTATTGACGACATTTTTTCAGGCTCCTTAGTCAACAAACACATGATTGATGCACTTCTTTTATTACAACATACCGAAATAATAGAATGTAACCAAACGTGAGCTAGGCTGGGCGTCGTCCTACCACTGATTGTTTTCGTCGTACCATCAGTAGAAAGATAAACGTAAAAATTATCATCATTGATATTATATTGCATAGATTTTCCTCAAGATGGACAGTATCCTTCAACCCATGATCTCCTAGTAACGCTACTAAAAAAAATAGTATTTTAATTTCAATGAATTTCTATACTAACCTGTCACATATTTATAACGGTTAAAAAAGAAAATCTTTTGTTTCATAATTGGAAATCTTTGCGTTCTTAGCAAATGATATATAGTTTCGAATAATATATGACGAGAAACATGAAGTCTATACTTAAGTCGACTTTGTAATTTATTGTCGAAAAATGATGAAAAAGTAATGATAATTTATTTATATCAGATGCTAAATCAATCTTATGAATAATTTTCTATAAAATTTGTCAGTTAAAATTTTCAATGTTCATATGAATCACTAACATAGACGTGTATTTCTACTTATCAGATTTTCAATAGATCATTTATGACAAATCTGTTAATCAATTTTATTCAATAAATATTACGAGCATTTACGTTTATGAAAAATACTGTGAATAAAACATAGATCATTGAAATGAATAATAGAAAATTTGCACTTTGTACTAATAAATACATCTATATTTTTCTCTCTTACCTACAACAAAATCATAGAATGACCTTGATAGCTAAACAATATGTTTCATATTGTATCTCGATGTTCTATGTGATTCATATGGAAACTATCTTTTGAATTTTGCATATTGTTTTCTTTTGGTTATATTTAGATCATGAATAACAATCATATAATATTTATTCATTTTTTTTTCTTTTCTGCCGACAATTCATTCTGACGTTATTTTTTTTTGACGTATATTGCTTCGAAAGTAATTTTTTCTTTCTTTCTCTCTCTCTTTTCTTGAAGTAGTAAATGAGAATTATTGTATTATAAAAGGTAAGAAGAAAAGTTTCTTACTTCACTCTACTTTTACATACACATTTCTATTACTTGGTAACTCAATCTTAATACTGAATATGTCACACGGAACTCTTCAAGTCACGGTTGTTGAAGCTCGTAATCTTAAAGACCAAGATACTCTTGGTCAAAATGACGCATATATTGAATTGTATCTTGACAAAGATTATAAACAACGAACAACAACTATTAAAGATACTAATTCACCAACATGGAATGAAACATTTACTTTGTAAGTAAAGATTTTTTTCATATTTTATTTTTTTTTGTGACATTTTCTATTTATTTTAAATAGTAATTTACAAAAAGGTGAAGATACTTTGCATATAAAGGTCTATGATGATGATGTAGTTGGTAAAGATTCAATTGGTTCAGCAAAAGTTAGTCTAAAAAAAGTTCAACAAGCTGGTGGACAATTGAATGATTGGATTAAATTACCTGCTCACCTTGGTCTTGGTTCACATGGTGAAGTTCATCTTATTTTACGACTTAGTTAAATATTTACAACAAAATTCAATTCAATTACATAAACTGATTAATATACATGATGTTCTAGTTTTCTTTTGTCTTATTCATATTTGTATATTTTAAGTTCTTATTTATCCTCTATTAGTTCAAAAAAATAAAATAAATTCGAACAAAATAGTTTTTGTCAATCTGAATACGAGATACAATGATGAAAAACAATTATTTATTTTCAATAGCTATTTATAACAGCATTTGAAAACTAACTGACTTGTATCTCAAATAAGTATACGAAAAAAAAAAATTACGTGGTTAAAATTCAAAGTACAGAATGAAAAAAAAAAGGGGCAAATAAAACAGAACAGAAAGGGGCATGTTATTTGATGAGCGATAAAAAATAGGGCTACTAAATATATATTCATCATACCTTATTAAACTGCAATATCAAAAGTAGATAAGTATAAGATAAATAGTAGGGGAAGGCCAAAAAGTACTATTGAAAGAAGACAATCTAACAAGTGATGCTATCGAAACTAGTAACTCGACAAGTTTTCAATCATGGACTTCGTTTAACAAGACGTGCTGCATCGACAGTTGCACAACAAAAGTTAGTTGGTGATCGAAATCCTCAAGTGTACTATCGTAAAGTTAGTTTATATTTTTTACAATACATAATAAAATACATAATTATGTTCTGTCTCTAGCTTTTTATTAATAATGAATTTGTTGATGCAATAGCTGGAAATGTATTTGAAGTTCTTAATCCAGCTACCGGTGATGTTATTACTGAAGTTGCTGATGCTTCAGAAGTAAATTGTTAATAATTTCAACAGAAAAAAAACATTCTATTGTATTCCTATCTATATAGAAAGATGTTGATAAAGCTATAAAAGCTTGTAAAGATGCTTTTCGACTTGGTTCCGAATGGCGTCGTATGGTTAGTAGACTATCTTTAATATCTTATTTTATTTTATTTTATATTAATAAAATGTTATTTATATTTAGGATCCTGCAGCTCGTGGTGATCTTCTCTATAAGCTTGCTGATCTTTTCGAACGTGATCGTGCTTATCTTGCTGCATTAGAAACGTTCAACAATGGTAAACCATTCAAAGATTCATATAATGTTGATATTCCTCATTGTATTGCTCTTCTTCGGTAAATTAAAATTTGTTATGATTGCTTGGTTTTTTTTTTCAAGGATGTATTTAAATTTTAATTGTATATAGATATTATGCTGGATGGCCAGATAAAATGAATGGAAAAGTTTTACCTATTGGTGGTGACTTCTTTTCATACACACGACGTGAACCAGTCGGTATTGTTGGTCAAATTATTCCAGTAAATAAAAAGAAAATTTTTCTTTTCTAAATGAAAAACTCACCGAATCCTGTTTTAGTGGAACTTTCCATTGCTTTTACTGTGCTGGAAAGTGGGTCCATCTGTCGCTACTGGTTGTACGACAGTTATTAAACTTGATGAACATACACCGTTAACAGGACTTTATGTTGGTAAATTGATTCAAGAAGCGGGTTTTCCACCAGTAGATATTAACTTTATTTGAATCTTTTATAATAGTTCAATGATTATTTTAGGGTGTTATTAATATTCTTTCTGGTGATGGACCACATTGTGGAGCATCTATTGTAAAACATCCTGATGTTAATAAAATCGCTTTTACTGGTTCAACACAAGTCGGTAAAATAATTGGAGCTGAAGCTGCTAAAATGGTTAAACGTACAACACTTGAACTTGGTGGCAAATCACCAAATATTGTTTTTGCTGACTGTGATCGTATGTTTCATAATAACAATAAAAATATTTCTATAAAATAACATTTTAATTTTTAGTTGATACAACAGTTGAAATGTCACACTTTGCTTTATTTTTTAATCAAGGTCAATGTTGTTGCGGTATGATTGATTTATTTGTAGTGATTAGATAATTTGAAAAATTTTTATTTAGCTGGATCACGTGCGTATGTAGAAGAGAAAATTTACGATGAATTTGTTCAACGAAGTGTTGAACGTGCTAAACGACGAAAAGTTGGGGATCCATTTGATGATAGTACTGAACAAGGACCTCAAGTAAATATTTGAATATTAATATTTTGTTTTCATTTGTTAAAGACATTTATTAATATTATGTTCCTTTAGATAAGTCATGAACAAATGGATAAAATTTTAGATTTAATTGAATCGGGAAAAAGAGCTGGTGCAAAACTGCATGTAGGTGGTAAACGTGAAGGTGACAAAGGTTTTTTTGTTCAACCAACAGTTTTTAGTGATGTTCATGATAATCATCAGATAGCTCGTGAAGAAGTAAGCAATAAAAATATTTTTGTTTATTATTATTTTGTTTGTGTTTATTTAAAGATTTTTGGGCCAGTAATGCAAATTCTTAAATTTAAAACAATTGATGAAGTTATTGAACGTGCTAATGATACAGAATATGGTTTAGCTGCAAGTATATTTACAAAGGATTTAGATAAAGCTCTAGTTGTTAGCAATGGACTACGAGCTGGTTCCGTTTGGGTTAACACTTATGATAATTTTGATCCAGTTACACCATTTGGAGGTTTTAAACAAAGTGGTCTTGGTAGAGAAAAAAGTGAATATTCATTAGATTCTTACACGGAAACAAAATGTGTACGTATTTTTTTGTCTCAATATTTAAAGAGATTTACTATTATATTCTTTTCTAGGTTACAATGAAGATTTCTCAACGAAATTCATAAACATAGGAATGATTAAAAAATAAACAATGAAAAATTTGAATGATTTTATGTAACCGAAATTTTTGATTATCGTTTATATGCTTATATTAAAAATGAGACTTTAGTTGGTCATTTGATTCTAATATCAGTTTCATTTTGATTCATTTATAGTTAACAGTAATATGAGTGTTAAGTTTTTCATTAACAGACTATATCAAATTATTTATATGATTATTGACTGATTCATGACTAGTGATGGCATCAGAGAGCAAGACTAAGTTACTGAGAAAAATTTTTAAATTGTTGCTCGCAATGGTACCACAGAAGGTCTGAGTGGGACTTACTTAGCCTCTGTCCCTATCTAAAATTCTGATGCCGCTAGTATTCCTGACTTTGGATAGATTGAAGCAAAAGTTAATGATAATTGCATGAAATCAATCAATATAATCATTTTTCTGATACAAAGATATGCCTACAAATCATCGATAAAACACAGACTAAAAGTTTGTTAAGATAGATTTAAATATGCTACTTGTATTCGTTTGTCATAGTAACGATGTAAATAAGTTGTTATTCAATCTCCTTTTAACTTGACAACGACACAAATATATGGCCTTCATAAATAATAATAAAACAAATCTTTACGATCGTTTTTTTTGATAAGTTAGTTGGCTATACAGTTATATTTACCAAACAATATAGCAATAAATAAATATAAAAGCATTAGCTGATTTATATTTCATGTGTATAATATTCTAATTTATGAATCAAGTTCTATGAAAAGAATTTTTTAATATTGTCATTAAAATTCATCTAATATTTTTTTTATCATCTAGAAAATCAATTGTCATTTTTATAATTAGAAATAATTTTAAGATTTTTTATTGATAAATCTCAGCAACATACACATTTCCAAAAAAAAGTTAATTTCTCTGATGAAAAATTAAATCTTAGAAATTGATTTCACAAAAAAAAAACCATATCTGTCAAGAAACTCAAAAGTTATCATAATTTCTGTAATAGTAATCGAAATTGTCTGCTCGAAAATATTCAAGTTTCCATGACAGTCGACTATAATTATTTCGATGAATTTTTTACGACAGAAAGAAATATATATCGGCATCTACTGGAAGTCTTCTTCTATCTTTGCATTATACAGTGATCGTAGTGCAGATGGTGCCACCTATTGACTTGGTAACGATATGCTGTAGAAGCTGATAGTACACATGTCATTAGATAGGCTAAGTCAGAACCTTACAGTTGCCTTTCCCAAAAGCACTATACCACGAAAGACTCTATGAAAATCCCGAAGTTCTTGATATACCATTCAGCAATTTCTCCACAATATTGATAACAAGCAATCCACAAGAAAAGAAATTTCTAACTATTATCGAAAAGTCTAAATATTCAGATGAAAAACATAATATTCACAAAATTTCTGTAATTACAAGAAAACTATCAGCAAACTTAATTAGATACCTAAATTACTATCTGTTTATTCGTGCGAAGATATCAGAGTAACTCTACATGAAAAAAAAAGACTCTAACCTACAACATAATTTTTCGTTTCATTAGTTTTTCATTTTATAAATTACAGAGAATATTCGGAAATTACCTCCAATTTAAGAAGTAGCGTCTTCTTCTTCTCCATAATAAAGAAAATTGACATACAAATTGAATAAATATGTTTTACTTCTTGTATTTACTAAAATTTGCTAGTAATTTTCAAAACTACTAATATTCTGTAGGGCAGTGTCATCGTGCTAATATGAAATAACATCGCAATCTATGTATGGTAAATGTAGTCATTTCCCAAAGTGCTTCCTAATTTGAAAAATTACCAATATTTTAGATAGTAGGATGTTCTTCTCAATATTAGAATACAAAGATATCTATATTCAATAAATACAGTAAATTCTGTACTTACAAATATTTTCTAGTCATTTCTGAAAATAGCCCGATATCGGACAGAAATTCCTTTTATGTATTTCGATATTTTCAAAAATTGCCTGATGATGTTTGTTTAGTTTCTTTTCTATTATCTAGAAGAAGCAAGAAATTTTCTGTTCTCACACTGGTCATTATCAAAGTCGTTTAGAAATAATTTTCCTGATGACTAGGTATTTTTATAATTCACAAACAAATTTCTTATAAGTATTGAAGGAGATTTCATATTTTCAGTTAATTCACTTTCGTTTTGTGATAAGTTGGGGGTGAATGCTGTCAACTTTTGGAAGCTACTAGTAAATTTTTGGATCTCTTTTGTCATACATTCTTTCACTGTATCAGAAATTTATGCTTTTAGAAATCTGAACATAATTATTTACGAGGGTTATTTTTCTAAAAAAATTTCTTCGAAGCACTGACGCATATGAGAGTGTAAACTGTTGAAGCTGAGTAATAATTAAAAAGTAATTAACGAATATCCATCTAACCAGACGAAAAAAATGCAAAAACTTCATAATAGACTCTATGGCACGAACTACATGTCTGATAAAATTTTTAGCAAGATCAGACTCTAAAAAACTTTTTTAAATTGGTTTTCTAGAGATGTTACCAAGTTCCGAAAAGAAAAACTTTTTATTGTATCATCATCAAAAGATTTTGAAGAAGGACTCGTATCATTTGGAATTGATTTGAAACTTTTCATTCGATTATCAGAGCATTGTTTCATTTTGATATTCGTGCTCCAAAAAGTTGCTGACACTAGTTGTTTTTACTCATAACACCTCTGAACAAAGGTCTTCATTGTCGATCTTTCAGGATATCTAAAGTCACTTTACATGCATGTAACATATAAAAATAAGCTTTAAGAAAAGCTCCTCATCTAGAGATACACGTGTTTTAATATTGCGAAGTTACATCGCTAACAAATGATTTTATCGATACATATATATAAAATTTGAGATTTTCTAATTTGTTGTTTTTAACATAAAAATGCCGAAGACTTTTTATTTATTGAAAATGGTTCAAAACATACTAGTAAACATTGGTCTCAACGATTTTTTTTATGAAACTACTTAACGAGTATGAATCTATAGTCAATAAAACACCTTGAATAAATATATATAATACATAGGAGCTTAACAAGGACTAATGATACTATACATCATAATCTTCAATGAAGAACAACAGCTCATAATGAACATCAAAGTAGGAGGAGATCACGACATTAGACAATAGATAACTGTTTTGTATACTTTATTCTGCATTATTTCAAAAATAGAAAAAAGTCCAGCACAAAATAAAACGCAACGATTGGTTTGTCAATCTTTAATTAAAACATATCTACATTGAAAAAAATATAGAACAATTTTCTTCTCATTTTCATTATTCAAGTATTTACTATTAATTATGATCGATGATGTCAATAAAAAATTTATTGAACAATCAAATAAACATATTGAATTAATTTTTGAACATATTAAATCTCTTCAATATACTTCGAATTCAACGAAAAATCACCTTAATAAAATTCGTATTGATCTTAATCAACGTTATGAAATACGTAATAATTATTATCATAAAAAATTTCCATTATTGCTTCATAATTTATCTCTTATCAAGTCGAATAAAATAAATTTTCAATTAATTGAAAAACAACATAATCGATCAATAAAATTCTATAAAAATGTGTTTAATATTCAATCATCAATTAATATGGAACAATATGATAAGCAACTTCAACAATCAATTAAAACTCTTAATAATCTTAAAAATAATATTAATCAATATGAAAATAATATTAATCAATTAAAACAAAAATTATTTGAACAAAATCAACAAATTAATTTTTATGTTAATAATCTTTTACATATTCAATATGAACAATATCTACGTCAGTTAGATATACAACAACTAAAACAAAAAATTTTATTTGAAAAAAATTTATATTATGAAATCAAACAAATTTATTCAGAAGAAAAAAATTCTTTTTTTAATTCAAAAATAACATTTGAAATTCTGTCTAAAAAAATCTTTCAAGGAAAACAATATGAATATATTCATCAACTCAAACAAAAACAACAAATCCTTAAAAATGAAGAAATAACATTAAAAAATATTCTTAAAAATAGTAAAGATTTAAATCAAAATCAACTACATCGATTTCATATAGAATATATTACTCTTACGGACGACATTGCTCAAACAAAACTCAATATTAAACAAAACATGGTGGATTTATTACCATTGCAAAGTGAATTATCTGCTTATCGTACAATATTTAATACGAATAGAATTACTTTTACTCAATCACAAAATCAACCTTTACTTGTACCAACAACAACAATGAATACCGAAGAAATCATACATGAATCAGCTTCATTAATAAATAATCTCAATGAACCTATATTACCTTCTGAACAACAACAACAACAACTACCTATTGAATCTAATATGGAGTCTGAATCAACAACGTTTAAATCTGAAAAAAGTAAACTAATACATGACATAGTTGTGACTTGCTTAGTTTTTTTTTTAATAACCCGACAGTCATTGAAAAGTCTTTTCAATCAATCATAAAGCGTGCTACCTATACGACCCTATAAGATTAGAGCAAAAGAGAAAGAAGTAGACTCTCACATTTGGCCTCTAATCCATCAAGACTAAAGGTGCGTGCATCACGCAATTGTCCTTTACGAGTTATGAATGTCGAAACGCCTATTTTTTTGCTCCCTCCTTTCTGTCTACTTGTTTGTAAGCATAACTTAATCGCTCGCTTGTTCATACATTTGCTGTTACATTATATAGAAGAAACCTTGTCCTCGTTTCTTTTGGATTATTCAATGTACTCATCATCTGGGACATGTAAAAAGGGAACGAAAAAAGAAAAAAAATGGGATGGATGAATGGACGAGAAAGAAATCAAAATGAATGAAAAGTAAAATGCGTACATGTATATATGACAGAAGGTTAAGTCAATCATTGATGCTTAACGGAGATTATCTCCGTGTCTTATGTTAATTATATGAGTAAAAACGATTTTCTCATGTAAATATGTCCAATCTTCAAACAACTCCATTAACTATATCATCTTCTTATTCTATCGACGTCCCAACAACTAATAGTGAACGTAAGTTTTTCTTCTCTATTAGTGTTTGTCACACATATACGAAAGAAAACGAGATAAAGAGAAAAGAAAAAGAAGAAATAAAATAAAATAAGATCATAAAATAAAATGGACCTGCATCACCATACTTATGGCACGTCTGCTTTACTATGTCATTATATATTCTTTTCTCTTTTATTCACATGTGCATATTGAAGTAGTGAATTATTTAAGTGTTCCTTCTTGAATTTTATAATTTAATTTTAACACAATTTATATAAAATATAGTCATGCCTGCGACGGCAAAATTACATCGTTCAGGTATATCTTCCTAGAAATGATAATAGAACAAGAGATAATTAATTGATGATTTGTATTTTTTTTATGTTATATATCTATATATATATATATATATCGTTATTTAGAATCGTTGGGACCAAATTTACAATCTCGTCTTGAAGCACTTGAAGCTGCTATGGGCGTACGACTTAATGTAGCTAAACGACAGGGACGCCATTCATTATCAAACAGTAAAGTCAATGAAACCTTTTTTTTTGTCTTAATTTTGATGAAAAAAATTCTTCTAGCTACAAGTTCTTCACCAATGCAACTTTCACCAACATCATCAACAACAGCAACAATTAATACAAGTATATCTAATTCACTTTCAACGTCAACTCGTCATAATATTCCAACACGTACTGGTCAAGGTGTGCAACGATCTGCATCATCATGTGATGCTGAAAATCGTCCCGGTCCTATAAAACGTCTCAAACCTTCATTACCTAATGAAAATAGTTCTTCATCACCATCAACTGTTGCTGCTATTGCAACTGTTAAAAAATATCCACCATTAGTTCGTAGACCATTACCAACATCAAATATAACACCAACACGTCCAACACAATCAAAACAATCAACTCCAATTAAACAACGTTCATCACCAATGGATACATCATCACCACGTTTATCACGTTCATCAACAGCAAGTAATAATAGCTCATCAAATAGTTCAAACTATCGAACACCAATTGGTAGCATTTCACCAAAAACTTCTCATACGCCATCACCAAAAACTTCTCATACGCCATCACCAAAATCACAAATAATTAATTCATTACCAAATTTATCAACAACGATTTCAAATAAAAAATCTTTATCAATATTTGGTGAACAATTTTCTGATGATATAATTAAAATAAATTTATTTTGGATTGATTCAAAAGAACTTGATGATGAAAGTCGTTCAGAAGTTATTTTACAATTTGGTTCATTAGAAAATTTCCTTCGGGAACAAAATTTATTTTTTAAAAAACAACAGCAACAATTAAAAATAGCATCAAAAAATAAGACGAATGTTATCCGATCACGTTTTCACTTATCAATCATGAAGAAGGATCGACTAGAACTTCTTTAATAAACTATATACAATTTTTTTTGTCAATTTAAGTCTATAATTCGCTTCTTCTTCTTCTTTTTCTTCACCTTCTTCTTCTTCTTCTTCTTTTATCCGGTGATCTATTTTTTATTTCGTCTTATTACGGTTAACTACATTAATGTTACTTTTTTTGAATTGTTGTTTGTGTGTTCAAAAAAACGTCTTTTTTTTTTTCTTTCTACTTTCAATTAATCTCATTGCATTCATGTTAACTAAATATATCGTAATAATTATAATGATTCCCTTCTTTTTCTCTTATTGTGAATAAAAGCGTTGTCAATTTTTCAAAAATATGATATTAAATATTCAAACGAATCTCATTTAAACAAAATAATACTTCAGATAAAACTAAGGATATGAAATTAATGAACAATGGATATACTTTCGGAAAATGTTACAAAAATACCGCAGTATTTTTCTTTTATGACTATATATTTAGTTTTCATATGACTTTTTCTTCTAAAATAAAAACTAATTATAGTATCGAACCTTGATTTTATCGATGAGATTGGCTAAAGCTTATTCATTATTACTAATTTTATTCAAAAATGACTTGATTTTGTTCATTGATAAAATATTAATTCATGTCTCATTGGTAACCTTCGATGACAACAAGGTGAAGCTTCTATCATATGAACTGTATGATAGAAATAATATTTTCCCATTAGCTCTACTAACAAAATATCAAGGTAACAGACTCGTAGGAGTTTTGTCAATCTCTCTAATCAAGAACATTTTTATCACTGTGCCAATAATACAAGGTTATTCATTTATTACAAATGATAGCCGTATCGTCAATGTCATTTCATTACTATTGTTTACATGTTTGTCAAAGCACTGCGCAATATCATACAAGGTAACACTCGTTATTCAAAATAACGAAGATTTATTAATATAGAATATATCATATTCTTCAGCAAAATTTTATTCAAGTAAGTACAATGATAGTCTACGTTTTTTTATTTTAACTGTATAGGAAGACACTGCGTTAGATAAGCTTTAACACATCACTTTTTAAAAATCTATTGAATACATAAGAAGTGAATACTGTTGTTGTTTTTTGTGTTACAAAATATATTTATGTATTGTCCCCAGGGTAACAGGATTGTGTAAGGAGATGGGGGCGATCAGTTAAGAAATTGATTGAAATTTTTTTTTATACAAGTTGACTGGATGGGAGGTGTGGGAGAATGAGCTTTTTTCTTGAAAACTGATGAGCAATGAAACGCTGAAATTCCGTTGGAGAATGGAAGACGAACACTTTAAAATGAGAATACTATTAGTAAAAAACAGACAAAACCATGTATTCTATAGAACTTCATTTGTTATGCATATTATAGCTTTTAAAATGATTTGTTCATCAATGCGTTAAATAGTTTTTTTTTTGATCAAATTTTTTATAATATATAATGGCGAATAATGATTCTTTGGAAATTGGACATTTTTTTGTTATTAGATTTATATCAGACTATGCGTAGGTAGTTAAATTGTCTAATGCTATTAAATAATTGTGTTTACATACAATCATATTAACTATGACAATGTTCTTTCAATAGTGTAAAGATTCAAATTTGGACGTTCTACTTATGTATTCGAGTTTATTATACAAATTAGATGAGATGTAAAAACATTATTATGGATTAGTCTACTGTTTACAATTGATAACAGTCGGTCTGATTTATTAATTACATAGATTGATACAAATTATCGAAACATTGCTTCAACAACAATACAAAAAAAGAAGCTCATTATGATAGTTAACAATAAAACTTCGATTTTTTTTTCGTTTTAACTTCATTTATAATAATAGTAATAACATATTGAACAATAATATTTACCAAAAGCTATTGACATGTATTCATCCTCTGATAAGAATATAATCGAACCTGTGTTTGTTTTTTCAAAATCTATCGAGAAGAGTTTATACTCAGCAATCATATATTAATTTTTTCTATCACTAAATATCAAAATAATTAATAAAAAAATCATTCACTATGATATAATAATCCAATTAGAAAAAAAGACTCCTGCTGTTGCTGACGTTAACTAACGGTTAATGTTAGTTTTTCGTTGATATATAAATATATTTGTTTATTCTTATGATTATCTTCTACGAGCACATGAAAGTAAACATCATCTCTCACTGAAACTGCCCTTTTCCTCATGATGATAGTCATTAAAAAGAGAAGGCAAAGAAATTCATCCTCATCAATGTTATTCTTAATCATTAAAAAAAAAGACCTACCGCTCTGGCTGAACAACATCCTTAGATATATAGTAATCATTGAACTCAATACGATAATTCATTTCCTTTTGCTTTAGATATGTTTTTTTGCTCTCCATTCATAAGAATTATCTATTTGTATGGATGCCTCCGGAAACTATAATGATGAATATAAAAGAAAAAGCTGAATGCTATGCATTTCACACAAACATGCGACTATGTATTTTTCCTATATCTTCTCTCTTGAACAGATGTGTTCAACTTTTTGACAAGAGAAGAATTATTATAGGATGGATCGTGATGTAGTGGTAGTGGTCATCGTGTTCTTGCTATCTAATATTCATAGACGATGAACTGGATAGAGACAGTATGAGAAGAGCAGAAAGAAAAAAGACGCCAGAAGCATTTGTTCAACGACATCTTCTTTTTTTGCTTGATTCTCTTTTTCTCTCTCGTCTCATTATTTGTCAGAACGAAAGAACAGAAGTAGTAGTACAATTAGAATAGGAATTGTGAAGAAGAAGAAAAAAAAAAGAGAATGAGAGAGAGAGAGAACCCAACAGCATATTCTTTCTATTCTCATCTTATAAATTGTCGTGAATAGAAAACGAGAATTGTCTTAATACAAATCTTTTTATTTCATAATAATTTCTTATCTTGTCAAAAAAAAATGTCTTGTCTCAATCTTTTGCTATTATTATTTGTTCTATTCATATGATAATAAAAGAAATGTTTTGCCACATATTTCTATTTGATCTTTTATTGTAGATCTTCACTTCATTCCTCTTCTATTGACAATGACAACATTGGCACGTCGATTATTAGGCAAAAGTAAGTGAATATATATATATAGTTTTCATTTGCTTGTCAACGATATAAACAAAGAAAATCAATTAATTTGTGATAAACTTGTGATGTTCGTCATTTTAATTCATTTATTCTTTATTTCTGTGCCTAACTTGTTTTCTCACATGCGTTCTAACAAGAAAATATGTAGGCGAGTTTAATCATCCTGCTGGGCTGTGAACAGATGCAGACACATGCATTAAATAGATCATTTTAATTTTTAATAAGATATGAACATGCAACAAAAAATATATATAGATATATATGACAGGTGGAACGTGATTCGTTAGTTTTTCAACTAGATATCTACATAAATTCTCACGAGGTTTTTACAATAAAATTATTAACAGAAATCTAATATCACCACATTTGTATTTTCTCAAATAATAATATAAATGATTCAGTGTCATGCTTGATGTAAGAGCTTTTTTTTTTTATTCAATGAAATATGAAACAAATTATGCAGAAGTATTAATGCTCATTTTGAACAAATGAGCATCTGTAAATACATATATGCACGCGTAATATAACAACATCAATGTGTACATACACATACTTATATATACTTGCATTCTTCATCGATGTAATATCGAAATGACAGAAATTAGACCTTCAATTGACATATACATACACTTTCTCTCTTACTTACTCCATCCATCTATCCAAATGACTGACGTAACTATTCTTCTCTTTCTCACCCGCCTACTTATTCATTTCAGTCGTTCGTCTTATACGACTATAACTGATGATGATGATAGTGATGATGAGCATGGTATGTATTTGCCAATAGGCAAGTACCTGATTAAATAGACAAAAACTATGAGATAATACGTATTCGTTCTATCGTCAATTCTAATATCATGAAACAAATGAATTATATATATGTCATAGAAAAGTCTGTTTATCTCTGTTAGTCAATTGATGTATGATCTTGATTCTGTCGAGGTCGTAGAATAACTAGACAATAATGTCAAAAACAAGAATAAGGGAACTATATTTATTTTAAGGCTGGCAATAACTATGAAATATGTTTTTTTTTTTCATCTATTATTTATAAAAGACGGTCAAGTGCTGTGTGATCTTGTTCTTGTTCAGTTAATTTTGCTTACGACTAGTCGGATCTTTTTCTGAAGTTTTACTAATTAGAAAAAGAACACAATTATGCTGAGCATTCAGACAAATGCATTGTTTCTTTAGGCTATTTATTATCGAAATTAGAAATTTCATTATTCTTCTTGATAAAGAACGAAACAGAGAAAGAAAGAAAGAAAGAAAGAGAAAGCGAGAGAGAGAAAAAGAGGAGAAGTTCAACTAGTTTTTCTTTTTTCTGTTATTACTCCTGCTGTTTCTCCTGATGATAATCACCATTCGATTGACCTCCTTACAAAGCCTATTGTATTGTACGATTACTCGTTGATACAATTTTTGATGAATTCATTCAACCATCTGATTACAAAGTAACAAGACATTCATTCAGTCTATCTAGTTTTCAAATGTTTAATTTTAAACAAATATGTATATAAAAAAAAAACAATTATTTCATGTACTTAAAAGGTATGAACAAATAAATATTCCTATATACTTGACAAAAAGAAAACGAAAGAATTTCTAGAGATTTATTGTACTTTGGATAGAAACATACGTTTGTATCTACTATCTTACAAATAGATTCTGTCGAAAATAATTGTATGATGGTAAAGGAGAAAAGAAATGTACATGTATGTCTCGCCGATTATATATATAAACTTGATTAGCGACTCATTTATGCCAATGATACACATACATATAACATATATACATATAACAGACGTCGACGAAACTGACAATTATTTCGAAGAGGATTGTATGATTATTTCTCTCACACCTCTTTTTTTCTATAGATAATACGTTCATATTGATTGAACGATGT